CCCCCCGCCCCCGCCCAGGGCCGTGCTTGCTGGCCCAGCCAGGTCCCAGCACCCTCTGGATCCTCCCTCCCTTGAGGGATCACAGTGGCCAGCAGCTGCCCTCTTCCTACTGCTGGGAAAACTGTCCCCATGGCTGTGCAGGGAGGAAATGGGGTGGGGGGGTGTGGAACAGAAAGCAGCTCTCTGCCCCCAGGGTCAGGATTCCCACTTGGAGCCACCCTTGCAGGTGGAGGTCCCCTCCTTCCTAGAAGCCCCAGGAGGCTGCTGGCTCCTGGGAAGGCAGAAACCCTGGGGAGATGCTGGGGGGTGGTGGGCTGCAGTGTGGCACATTCCTGGGGTGGAGGCAAGTGTGCAGGACCTGACCTCCCTTGCCTCATCTGGGGGCTCAAACCTGGGTGCTGGGGAAAAGCTGAGCCCCCTCACTTGGGCATCAGTCACTCTGGCCCCACACCAGAGCGCTGCCTGTTTGGTGCCTGCCTGCCCCCTGGGTGCTCCCTGAGTGGGGGCTGAGCCACTGGGCCCCCTTGCCCTCCTCTCCAGAGGCAATGCTGGGCTGGCCCTGCTATGCCAGGGCCTGGTGGGTGCAGGGGTGATCCCGATCTCTTTGCGCAGACCCCTAGTACCATTCACTGCCCTGCCAGGGCGCAGGTACCCCAATCTCTGCCTTGCCCTCCTCTGCGGCATGGTTTGGCACTGCAGGGTAGAGCCAGCTGCCCGGGGTGCAGGGCAGCCTGTGAGTGCTGGCAGATTTTGGCACTACACTCTGGGGAGTGTGGGGTGACAGGGATGGGGACCCCGCGGTGCTGTGCTTGGGCAGGGGGAGCAGGGATGGCAACAGCACCCTGTGCTGTGCTCACCCTCTGTTCCCCTTTTCCTGTTCCTTGCATATCTGGCCTGTCCCTTCCCAAGTGGCAGTGCCCACCCAGGACATAGCAGGGACCCCGGCTCGTCTGAACACTCACCGATGGGAGCAAGCGCCCTTCTCCCCACGCCCGGCTGGCCGCATGGGTAAGGTCCCAGCAGTGGCTGGCCCCCCTCTCTCTGCTCCATGCAGTGGTGGTGCCTGCTCCAGCTGGGGGCCGAGGGAATGGGGTGCCAGGCGGGCTGTTTACCAGTCCCCCAGCTCCAGGCTGGGTGGCAGCAGGGCCATGAAAGGGAATTGGTGCCGGCAGCAAACCCTGGCCTTTTGCATTCTTTGTCCCA